CAGAATATATGTATATACATATATTCTCGTCGAAAAAGATTAAATTTTCCTTAATAATAACCGAGAGAAACTATAATCTATATATATCTATAAACTATAATCACATATATGTGAAAACGTGTTTTGTTAATTACACATATACTGCTTTGTGTTTTATGCTATTGTTTATTGGCAATATATTATGTAAAATTGGTAATTAGATCTAATCGTTTTGTTAATTACACATATACTGCTTTGTCTTTTGTGCTATTGTTTATCGGCAATATATTATGTAAAATTGGTAATTAGATCTAATCGTAAGACGATAGATAGATAGTGGGAAGAAGAAGAAAGGGAAGGGAAAAGGACGAAGGGTTGGGATGCTGGCGGGCAAAGTGGAGAGGGGAAGATCCAAAGCTAAATCCAATTATATGCACAAAGCGAGGGCTGCAGGCCGCAGCTACCACAAGGACAGGGCGGGAATTGAGGATACGAAGGCGAGAGAAGGTAGAGAAATTCTCTACACGTGGATAAACCTACGTTACGTTTCTCTGGGAAGGGGAGTCCCCGTGACTCGCCTACCGCTACCGGAATTAGATTTTGCTTACTTTCGCCCTTGCAGGAGTGGCCCCTGCACCCTTGCACCCTTCCCCTGCTTTTATCCACGCCTCTCTCGCTATTGATAATCGCGGCCTGAATTTCAACGAGTTACGCTCTTTATGCATGTTTGCTCGGAACATTCTTTCGCCCCGTTCGTTTATGGGGAACCGGTCAGCGCGAAACAATTTGCAAAGGAATTTGGAAATGGTTTGCGACATTTCGCGACACTGATCCCCCTCGTTGCGATAGGGAACTTCGAGGGAAACTATTTCAAAATAATTTCATGCTAAACTCCGTTCGCACGGGGAATGGAATTTTTAAGGAAATAATCGAGTATAATTCGGTATCGAAATAGTTTTGGAAACTGAAGTTTGTTATTTAATTTAGTTTTTCTATTCTCTAAGATTCTACGAGATATAATTATGATATATTTTATTGACGATGATCGATCGTTTAATTTGTAATCTAATTTTTAGTTCAATTATTAATTTTTTATTGCGTGCAAGAAAGTTTGTATTAAAGAAGAGTTCGATCAATTTTTAAATATCTTTTTTTGAATTTATTTTAATTACTATTACTAATTAATTACTATTTCCGTTTTGTATCCACAGTTGAAGGATACTGTCGCTGAAAAATGCTTCCTGCCTCCTTTGAAGAATCGGGAGATCGATACAAAGGTAAATCAAGAGACTTTATTCTTTTAAGAACACTCAAAATCTTTTTTCCATTTCTTTGCATGATTGCTCAAAAAAGAGATTCTTCTTTAGATACTTTCGACCGTCTTACTATTTTTTATTAGTATGATCTATAAGATCGATAGAATCGTTGTATCTTAAACTAAAATCATCAAATATTTAAAAGAAAATAAAAAATCTCGATGATTTTATGTTTTTAAAAAATTTCAAATATTACTTGTACAATTTGCTTCTTTATAATATGTTATCGATTCTTTTATTTACAATAGTTTTTATTATTATAGATTCAAGATTATTCGATACCTTTAACGATATTTGAGGATGAGGAAATTAACCTGAAGAATAGCGATACGAATAGCGATAGATATTCAAAGAAAAGTCGCGATGCTTGCAAAGTATCATTGTCAAGAAAATCTAAGAAATTCGAACGAATACCGAGTTTCTGTTCCTCGTTAAATTCTCACGACATCGTTGAAGATTCATATTTGGAATCTTTGAGGCAATGTCGTTTTTAGGAAGGAAGATAGAGGGACAAGATAGACCATGTCATAAATCAAACATTGTGCCTTTAAATATATAGCATCATGCATAATTTAATTTTTTGTTCAGAAAAATTGTGAGATATATTTATAATTGATTCTTAAATAAAGATTAAGGATTCGATGATTAAATAGACGTATGAAATAAAAGAATTCCATTATAAAAATTTCGTATTCTTTTTTACGTACTTTGAACAATTTGATGATATAAAAACAACTGCAATTAACTAAAATAATATTCTTCAAATTTTTCTTTTTTCGTATAAAAAATTTAGCAGCCATTCAAGTTTTTTTTTCAAATAAATAAACTCGTATTATTTCTACTTTTGTTTACGAAAATCAGAGAACCTATCTGTTATCAATTATTTCAATCAAGAATACATTTTCATCGGCAAATATTTCGCAAAAAAAAAAGAGGTATTTAAAGGGATTGTCGAAGAATTAATATAAATCAATTTCCATTAACGCGTGCACTCGCTTCTTCATTCCTTTTCCACGTATTTCCGATTCTCTTCAATTTCTTATATCTAAAGTCTTAAATTTCAATCATTTTCTGCTCCTTCTCTATCTTCTATTTCCAACAAGTTCGAGACATTCCTAAATAAATTATAAACCCTAGAGATTAGCCGATCGATGAAATATTTAAACTTAATTTCATCTAGGCGTCTTATTAATTATAAATGTTATTTCAGGGTCATAGTGGATTCTAACCACCAAGGCGACATTTATACATTCAGTCACGCATAACTATGTATACTTTTTCATTCATACCAGCAACTAGACTAGTATGATACACCAGGGAATGCGCGAACCAGTAGGCGAATTCAGAAATTATTCAACGGTTTTTGACGTCTCGAGTACATGGCGGTGCCAGAAATTCTAAGCCATATTAAGACTTCACTGGGCAACCAGACCATTTTTATCCGCAATCATTCACTAAATTATCCGGGTGAAAAGAATTTAGTGGTTATAGAGATCAAAGAACCACTACTCCTGTTTAATTCATTTATTTATTGAGACGGTTTTATGAATATATAATCTCGAATTTGCATGAAGTTAAGTTTGTGAAAAGTTTAAAAAAAAAAAACTTATGAAAACTTTTGATTCATTTTTTTAAAAAAATTTTTTAATAATTTAAGATTAAATTGTTTGTTAATTGTTTCTGTCGAGAAATTCGTGAAATTTTTGACAAACCTGAACATGCAACGTCTGGCAGCAACAGTCTGGAAAGTTTGATTCTGACGCGGCTATTTAATTTCCGCGAGGCAGACTGTTATTATCAAGTTCGAGTTTTAACGTGTTTTCTTAGGGATAGGAGAAATGCAAATACGATAACACCTGTCCAGGCTTTCCTAAGGCTTTAAACGTTGAACGGAAGTTAAATTGAATGCGGACCGACATTTATTTAAAGGATATCGGAAGGATTCCCTTTAAAACGTACGAAATTCGTGCGTGAAAGTATTAAAGTAGTGAAATTGAATTTTATCTACATTAATTAAATTCGAATCGAATTCATTTCGTGATATGAATCGTGGTATAATGTGGCATAAATTTAATAAAAATAGAAGAAAGTGAGATTTAATAAAAAATATGCGATAAATGAATCTTTTATTTCATTTATAACATTTCAAATGATAAAAGTATCTCTATATCGAGATTTAAATCTCTAATATTATATTCATAATATCATCATGATATGATATATGCATATATATAATTTTTCGAAAGAGAAAAATATAAACTAATTTTTATATGCAGATTATATATATAATATATACAAGGTATTAATATATACAAGATCAAAACAAATATAAACTAATTTTTATATACAGATTATATATATAATATATACAAGGTATTAATATATACAAAGATCAAAATAAATATAAAAATGCTAATTGAGATTGATTTATTAAAGTTAACAACTTAATTTCACATTAGAATGAGATGAAGATAGAATGATAATCTAGTTTCATTTAATATAATTGCTTATAACTTAATAAATAAGTCTTAATTGATATTTTTGCATTAACTATATATATTTGTTATCTCTAGAATTGAAAGTATTCCATGAATATATTAATATATATATGTATCTATATATATATATAATAAATATATAGATTTATATATAATTTTGAAATAGAAATTACCACGACTTGCGAATTGATCAAAGTATAATTTGTGAATAGAAAAATTTTAAATAATTTCTTTGTATTAATAAAAAAAAATAATGTTTTATATTTAGTCTATCAAACCCATTCAAATATTGGTTATTGTTCATTACTATCGATATAAATTATTCGATATTCATTTCTAACTTCTAACTTAACTATTCCTATCTTAACCTCGGTATCATTTTTGACCCTTATTTAAAAAACGAGATAATTTTTACAAAAGTATATTTTCCAAAGTAATCTAAGTGAAATTGTACAAATTATGTTCGAAATACGTAAATTGTATCCGTTTTTAATTCTCCTAGTAAACGTAGAAATCTATCGAGGAGTAAATTTATTCATATAGTGAAATTCTCGACGATCCGCAAGGGGTGACTAGTAATCGCGGCGCCACGAGCTCCCTGTACAGAAGCCGTTGCGCGTGAATTAGCGATGCATCCCGAATAGATTTATCACGTTCAGATTAAGATTGACCCTAGAAAGAAGAAAGTGTCAAAATAATCGATTTTAACTGGTTGCGCCCGCGCGGCCGTCGATTCGCGACCAGCACCTCTGGTGGTAGTTAACGACACTACGTGAGCTGTCTACGTGGACAAGGGAAACTCG